TGTGTGAGAGAGTGTGTGTGTGCGTGTGTGTGTGTTTCTGGATGTTTGGCACAAACACACTGGTATCCTGGTGGCAGCTGCTCCCCAGTCTCCGGCTGCCTGGATACCTGGATCTACCCATCCCCAATGCCCGGCCTATGGGAGTCTCCCTCTGAGCGTGTGTGTGTAGCTGTAACTAAAGCAGCTCTTTATGTTGTTGCTGTTAGTGAGAATAGCTGTTTAACATGTGTAAGCACACATGAATACGTGTTCTTGTAGATGAGCATAAATATCAGTTGCATGTGCTGATGAGTGACTGTGTGTGTGTGTGTGTCACACCTTGACAAGCCTGGATAGCTGCAGCAATGTCATCTTGCTTCAGGTGTGCTGCAAGTGCCATGTTTCTTCAAAAACGAAGTACTACAAATACAAATTGCAATTAGAGATCCAACAGAATACTAAATCCAGTATATGCCTGTTTTAATTGAACAGTGAAGTTTTTACAAGCTTTTCTGTCCAATTTGAATGTACCAATAAACTAATATAAACATTAACATAAATGCTGCAAAGCTCATATTACTTATGAGCTTGGGAAAATGCGAGGATGCAATTGCAATAAAAAAAAATTAACTTCTGTATTAAAAATTCTGATTTAGATACCGACCAAAAACAACTTCATTTTAGCAGTATAGTATATGTTAAGAAGCAGGCACTCACCGTTGGACGGGTGGAGGCGGGAAGTGATGTATGCTTCTGGAGTATCTTCAGGAACAATGGAGAAACAGAGACCCTCTCTTGCTGTTCTGGGAGCTAAAGTGCAGAGAGAGCGTGAAACCCGTGCCCTTAAACCCAAGGAGGCCACAAAACACCTCCCTCCTCATTAGCTAATCCAAGCAGATCATTTCTGATAGCTATTGGTTTGAAAGGATGTTATTTTTTGCATATGCTTATGAAGAGCTCAGGTGAGCTTGGCTCTGGCTTACTACTGAGACCTGTGATGATGCTGGGAAGGAAATTTCTTCTGGTTTGGGCTGAATTGCAAAACCAAATTACAATGAAAAATCACAATCATATTTAACAATAAAATATAGAATCAGCACAAAAATGTTGATGGTGATGAGATGAGGTCGCCTTATCAATATATTCATACAATAAATATGATAAAAAAATAATAATAAATGAATGAATAAATATGTGACCCTGGAGCACAAAACCAGTGTTAAGTCGCTGGGGGATATTTGTAGCAATAGCCAACAATACATTGTATGGGGTCAAAATTATTGATTTTTCTTTTATGCCAAAAATCATTAGGATATTAAGTAAAGATCATGTTCCATGAAGATATTTTGTAAATTTCCTACCATAAATATATCAAAACTTAATTTTTGATTAGTAATATGCATGGCTAAGAACTTCATTTGGACAACTTTAAAGGCGATGTTCTCAATATTCAGATTTTTTTGCATCCTCAGATTCCATATTTTCAAATAGTTGTATCTCAACCAAATATTGTCCAATCCATACATCAATGGAAAGCTTATTTATTCAGATTACAGATGTTGTATAAATCTCACTTTCAAAAAATTGACCCTTATGACTGGTTTTGTGCTCCAGGGTCACATATATTAATAATAAATGCTGTTTATATATTAATTAATAAATATTGATAAATGCTATAGAAGCTTGTTAAATGTTAGTTTATGTTAATTACTGTTAACAAATGAAAGATTATTGTAAAGTGCCACCAATAAAATATTCAAATACTTATATACTTGTTATTGTATTTGTTTATTTATCCCGTATTTGTTCTTGTGAGGCATTTTACACCATTTGTACACCATTATAAATGTTATGATCAAATATCTTCCCATCCATTTAACTTTTTATAATACTTTCTGTCATTTCTACTAGGATTTAACCTGACGATCAGTTAGAAATTAAAGCTGGATGGATATAATGTAAATCCTAGTTAAAAAAAAAAGAAGTATATTTAAAACATTAAAAATGATTTCATAAAATGCATTTATTTCAGTATAGTTCAGATCTGTTTACATATTTACTGATATATCACTGATATAAATTATGATTAAACTTCATTTGGACAATGCACATTTCTTAATATTAAGTCTAAAGTGTGTTTTAATGTCACTATTGATGAGGATAGTATGATTTTTGTATTTCGTATGATAAAAGTATTCCAGGGCATTTAATTAAGTACATAAATATGTAAATGTATGTAGTATACTTAATGTATTCCAAATACATTTTAGTATATTTAATTTGCCTAGGGATATAACAGTTGAAACTAGATTAAATGTTAAGAGTGTATAAATTTTTCTGTTATTTCTGTCCTTTATTTGTTTTGTTTGTTTTTGTGTAAAGGGCACAGACAAGAACCTTATAAATAAAACCGGAGGAACAAAGCTCTTTTTGTGGAAAAAGATCAAAGAAATTTATTTCGATGAAACATTAATATGGCGAGCATACTGTATAAGCTGGTGGTGAGCACTGGGAAAAGGCATTGGGGAGTGGGTTTCTATGGTGATACAGTATAGTGTGGATATATGAGCCATAGTGAGTGTGACGGGGCTGACGAGACGTGAGACGTGTGGATCCATCTGCAAGCTTTTATTAAAGAGACGTGGTATAACAGGCGGGGTCGAACAATGACAAACAGGTATATGGCGGGCAAAAACACAAGAATAGTCCTAGGGCTAGCGTAGGTCACCGATCGGCAGACAGAATCACAGGGGCGAGACGAGAGGGAGAAATCCAGGAAAACAGGCAAAGATCAGAAACAAAGATCAGTTGATGCAAAACAAGGAAAACACGGAGACTCTGAAAGGGGTACAGGCTAAACAATACTCAGCAGAGAATGGTGGTTTGAGTGGGTGTTATATAGTGAGTGAGGTGATAAGAAACAGCTGTGTGCAATGAGTGCAATCAGTGCAGTGTGCAAATCGTGCAATGAATGATGGGATATGTAGTCCGGGGTGCTATGCAACAGTTTGTGTTGTGCGAGAGTCAATGTAATGGAAAGGGTGACCTCTGGTGGTGAATAAACGGAAGTCCATGGACCGAATTCGTAACAGTGAGAGAGCGAAATGTCATATACTTTTGATGTAAAAAGCCATTTTTGTAACATTTAAGTATTCATCCCATTTTCATTTTTATTTTATACATCTCAGGTATTCTGTAACAGCTCCTTCTGCTGTTATTAAATGACGCTATGGTGCTGTATGTTTTTGTGGAAAACCTGATACACCATTCACAAGTTAGGGATACATATGATTTTGATTTAATAAAAAAAAAAGAAAGAAAGAAATTAATATTTTCATTCAGCAAGGATACATCAAAACTGCACAGTAAAGACATTTAGGGTTACAATTTTTTTTCCCATTTTAAATAAATGCCGTTATATGAATTTCTATTCATCATTCATAAAAATCCTGAAAAAAATGCATCATGATTTCCAAAAAAAATATTAAGCAGCAAAAATCGTTTTCAACTTTACTAACAATTAGAACCATTATTAGTAATTAAATACAAATAATAATTTCGCAGCAGTCAGCATATTAGAATGATTTCTGAAGGATCATGTGACATTGAAGACTGGAGTAATGATGCTGAAAATACAGCTTTGCATCACAGGAATAAATTCAGTATTAAATATAATATAATCTAATAGAACAAAATCAAATAGAAAGCAGTTATTTGAAATTGTAATAATATTTCACAACATAACTGCTTCTTATTGTATTTTTAATCAAATAAAAGAAGCCTTGGTGAGCATAAGAGACTTCTGTGAGAAGCATTTAAAATATCATCATTCCAACCGGCAGCATTAGTTATTAATAGTAATTACGGTTTTTACTTTTAATCAAATAAATGCAGCCTGGTAAGCATAAAAAAAAAAAACTTTAACAGGCAATGTGCTTCAAACCACAAATTGATTTCTTAGCCTCAACAACGAGGCTTTTTACACCAAATGCCTTATAAAACTGTTACTGAAATACTATTGATTAAATTAGGCCTGCCTCGAAAAAAAAATATTTAGTCTAATTTCAGATGTTCTCATTATCTTCATACATTTTCGTTACCATTTTCATCAAATGACCTCAAAATAAGTGGCAATAAATAAATAAATAAATTAAATCTAGACACCCCACCCTGCAAAAGCTCATTTCAGAGAAGCTGCATTAGCCCTTTAGCAATGTAACCTGTAAATTGCATATATGTGTGTGTATATATATATATATATATATATATATATCCTCCTGAGAACCAGAAACAAAAGGCTTTGTGAATTTAGTATTTTTTCATGTCATTACATTGTTTAGAGCATGCATGAGAAAAAAATGGTAAAATAACATTTTTGAAAAATGATATTTTATTCATAAGTTATGCTATGTCCTCTGTAGAGGACACCAGGACTCAGTTTTTCTAAAAATAAAATGACAAGAGTAGACACAAAAAGGCAAAAACAAATCAATCATCAATCCATTTTTAGGTTTCAGGATTTTTTTTATAACTAACTTTGTTTAAGGATGGTTCTCAACTATAAAATATATAGCAAAATTATTTGATATACCATTTTGCTTTATGTATGTATATGTGTGTAAGAATTCCATAAACTGGTTTTCCCATTAAGCACAGTGTTATTTATACACTGTATCTAATCTGCATATTAAAGTGCTGTTGGGACAGCATGACGTGTAATAATGGGAATAGTAATTGGCCAGATTTTCATAGGAATATCTAATATTTCATAAGAATATTGATATATAATTTGTTTTCCTATTCAATTCTTTTGTCTCCCAAAATGTATAATAAACATGATTTTAGTCCTGGTGTCCTCTACAGTGGACATGTATGAAATCATGTCCTGTTTCATAACAGAAGGTCATATTTTGATTTGAACCCGAGGATATATATATATATATATATATAATAATTATTGTTATTCATAATTATATTATTGTATATTACATGTGATTTATAATATATGTAATAATAACTATTCTCCCGCAGAGATAAATAAAATAATAATTGTGCTAAGAATACAAATCAAATCAGTAGCCTACAGGATGTTGTCACAGTTTCCTCCTAATACAGGTTTTGCATTGCTCATCACAGTCGAAACCTTCTCTCTCTCTCTCTCTCTCTCTCTCTCTCTCTCTCTCTCTCTCTCTCTTTCTTTTTTTTTCTCTCTCTCTCTCTCTC